CCTCCTGCCTAATGACATGCATACACCCTTAAAAACTAAAAATCATTAAACAAAAGTTTTTTTTTTATCTTTAAAAAGTTCTTCATAATATTAACATTACATTAACATTAACATTAACATAATACTAAGTTCTTCACGAAAAAGAAAGATTTCTATAAAGGACATAAATGTTTTTTGAGGAATAAAAACAAACCCTTCAATGGCATCACTGTTTGTTTAGTTCTTTTTTTGGCTCCAAAACCTCTTCTTAGAATATGAAACAGTGGCCAATTAGAGGTGTTTAAATTAGTCAGAAGGACTTGTTTGTTCTGGGTGAGACAATAGAACATATAAATATAAAATGTGCTGGTTTGAGTCAATCATAAAGCTCTGTCAGTTTATATGCCATTGCATTTAATTGTTTTAAGTCGTAAGCATGCGCTATGTAGTTTCCAAGAGTTAGTCAGTCTTTTGGTCCCTTACCAGTTAAAAAAGAAAAAATAATTCATTTGCTTCTGCAAACAGCTCATTTGTGTGTTTACCAGAGAAGTTGTTTAGGCAATTTTGATGGTAATTTACCATTACTGAGTTGTGAAAAGGGCTATTGTTTAATAGGGATTGCTCTTCACTTGCTTTGTTTATCTTTTTATAACATGGCTTACTTTCTTTATAAACCCCATTAATATTTCAGATACAAGTTTTATTTTTCATGCTGTTAAAAAGTGCATTCTTTCGAGAGCAGCAACTATATTAAAATGCAGAACTGAAACAATGAACTACAGCAACAGACTACAATGATTATGTTCTGTTTCTGCGCTATTATGCAGTGTTTCCATCTCGTGCTTAGCTCCCCTTCCCTTTTTTTCTGTTAGTTTGTTTCTACAACTGAGTGGTTAACTGGTTGTGTTCACCAGTGTCTTGTTTTATTTTTCAATAGGGCATGTATTTAATCCCTTCATTCATCTGTTTGTCTTGCATTGTCTTCATCTGCTTAGATTAGATGAAAACCAATCTTAAAATAGATCTTTCAAATAGTTTCAAAAAACACCAGTTAAAATAAATAGCTATAATATTTTTTTGCTATTACACTGAAATTGATACCAACAACCATTCAATTCTACTCTGACACCACTACTCTGATAGCTCCCAAATGTACAGCAAATGGATCATTTTTAACATACTAGAAAGCTGATCTGATCAGTACAAATGCATGAAGTGACAAGTGTGAATAGGTTATAGATCCAAACAAATCCTGTTAAAGTATCTAAATCGAAAAAAAGACCTCAATTGAAAACGTTCCGAAGTGTCCCCTGATATATTTAGCAGATCACTGGACCCCTCAGGGAAGAGATATGACAAGCCTTCAGCTTAATGGTATGTGGAAGGCAGACTGCACTGCCGGAGTGGATTAGCAGTGCAAAGGAAATGATTTTGAATCTCTCTTGAACTCCTGTCTTTACATTTTTACAATGATTTAAAAGAATGATTTAGACAAGTTGTACCTGTCCAGCTTGCTATGTAGAGTGGGTGACACTTTAAAAGAAGCATTACTGCCACCGCACTAACGGAGTAAGTACATGATTTTAGGTATAACCACAGTTTGCAACTATGCCACAAAGGGGCACAAAGGCACAGGATACGAACAAACAGAAATAAATCATAGCTGTAAATACCCTGTTACTTGTAAATGAAGATGAAATAATGAAACAAAGCATTATAATCCTTCCTTATTCATTAATCTTGTTAAGCTTTATGAAATAAATGAGGATTCATTTTAGAAAGTAAAAATAAAGAAATAAAATACAACTAAAATGAAAGTACACACACGCATACAAATAAGTAGGCTTAAATAAATAAGTAAATAAATGAATTAATTAAGCAGTGTTTTAGCCTAAAAGTATAGAGATGTATATTGTTTGTTCGTTTTAATTGATAGGACTAAGACAGTCAATAAATAAGCTTTTTCATTTACGTTTTCGTTTACAGTTTTTATTTACATTTTCATTGATGATTATATTTTATTATCTCATTTTATGTCTTAATTATTGAACATAAATAATAAATGAATAATTAAATAGGCCTAAATAATTATTTATTTAAAGACATTACCAGCAAAACATGGAGAAATGGTCTTAAGTTGAATGCTACTTCCTCAAAAGCATAGAAATAAATTGACCAACCTCAAGCACATTACTAAAATTATACTAAAAAATTTTTGTTTGTTAAAAAAAGTTTATTGTTAATAATTTAGTTTCAGTTCAGTATTCAAAACGCCAATGTTATATTTACACACACACACACACACACACACACACACACACACACACACACACACACACGACTTCTTAAACTATTAATGGCTCAATATCTTTTGTGTTTTCATTTCAATTTCAGTCACCTTGCATATATGTGTGAAATATAATGTGCGCATAACAGCATAAAAAATGAAAAAACAGTCAAAGGTTATAGCTAATTAAAGACCCCATATTATGGGTTTTTGAAAATTCCCCTCCATGTAGTGTGTAACACAGCTCTAAGTGAAGTGAAGTATCCAGCTAAGGCTTAAATCTGTAATAGTACAGTGTTTAAGACGGTTGATTCATCTATAAAAGAGTCGACTCATAGTGCTTCAAACGAGTCGCCTTGATACCGATTCATTAGGTGTTTCGTCATGATGTACGAACGAAACCAAGTTATTCACGTGCACGCGCAAACCCGGGAGATTTCAAACCTGAGGCCCCGCCCTCTGACGCAGAAACCCAGACACATACACACACCCAAAAACACACGCACACAAACATGCCGGTTGATTGAAGTCACACTGCAGATAGATATTATCGAGTCTCTACCCAAAGATGAAACCTCAGCATTATAACCAAGCAGTTGGAAACTACTGGAAACTTCTGCAAACTACATGCTACAAAGAATACTTCATCTGCGTTTGTTAAAGGAAGGATCAGTAAAGAGTAACTTACTGATGGACGTCAGGATGGGTTTCTTCCTCCATTTCTCAAGCGTAAGTACGTGCGATTAAAGTTGTTGCCTCGTTTACTCTAGCTTGCAAATGTATTTAGTTGTGATTTGTTACTTGTAACCGCATGTACTGTATCTGGTTAACTGGCTATATTCTCTTATCGCGTGCAAAGTCACGTTAAAAACGCGACGCGTGCTGCTGTGTTTACGGAGCTCCGTGGACGAGACTAGTGTGTGCGTGCGTGCGCTGTCGTCCGGAGGTATGTGTGTATGTTTGTGTGTGTGTGTGCGCGCGTTGTCGCCCGGAGGTGTGTGTGTGTTTTTGTGTGTGTGTTAGTGTCTGTGAAAAGAGCAGAGTGAGACAAGCTATGAGATCTCCTCGACAGTTTTTGCTCAATAAAATAGTTAGTCGTCTGAATTTTCAAGTCCATCGACTGTATTTACATTGACCCAGCTAAAATCCACGCCTACACTATCGAGCGTGTATGAACAGTGATTACTTTTATATTGCTGATTAGCTGCTGGGCATTTCACTCTCTGACTGAAGGCAGTCGACCAATCGCAACAGGCTGTCATCGGTCCTATCAGCGCAGATTAGCTTCGCGCTAAGGAGGGGTTTGGGAACAAATGAATAACTGGACGATTCATACAGGAGTCACTGGGATAATTAGGTAAAAATAAATGCAGATTATAAGACCATGAAAGTGTTTTTTGACCTTGCAAGCATATTAGACTGTTGTTGGAGACGCTTACAACCAAGATATGACCCTATTTCATGTATAATATGGGCTCTTTAATCAAAATTAGATATATTAAAATAAATCAGAAGTATAAAAAAACACCTCATCAAAACAGTCTGTCTATTTAGGCTATGTTTATAGAGGCCTACTATAATTTAAAAGAAAGCTGCAAAGTGGGCTATATTAGTTTAATTCTAGCCTATATTATTTTAATTCATTTCCTCTGTCTGACGGTTCAATGTGAAGGCGCCGTGGGTGATGAAAACTATAGACAATACATTTGTAATCAATGTATAAACAAACACACATTTAAGCTAAGAGGCATAAACATAGATGTGCAATAGTCTTTTCTTTGCACTGTGCAGCTAGTGGATCTATTCCAAAGTATGTACTGTAGTACTAAAAACATAAAAACATAAACTGTAGCATTAATAAAGTAGTTAAATAAACAAACTTTAATATAAAAATACATTTGAGAAGAAATTGTTTCAGACAAAATTAATTTAAAAATTGTTTGAGATGACTAAATAGGCCTTGGAAAAAAATGCAGGTTATGAATAAAAAAGGCATGTGTGCCTTTTTTTTTTTTGTACCATACATTCACAGCATCTACATTGAAAAAAGTGTTTCAAGATGAATCTGACCTATTAAAACATTCACAAGGTCACTGAACAAACTACAACTGAATGAGGTCAAATTTTAAAAGCCTGTATAAAAGTGAATGCCGGTCAACCATAGTTCAGTTGTTATCTTAAAAAAAATGTTTTAACTTTGGAATGTTTATATGCAAATAATAAAGAAAATCTTTCACACTTATCTTTTGCCAGTCTAAACATCAAGTCCCTCACATCTGTAAGCAAGCAATTTGTCATCATCTAAACTCCAATTTCCACAAGGACAGGCCTTCAAAACCATTACAGTAAACCACAACATCAGGCACATAATGCTGACTAAACTCTTTCCATGTTATTACACACATATAGCGCACACAAACTCAAGACCTTTCATCAGCGCATACTATAATTGCATCTGTTCACTCACTTCAGAGTGACATTTTGCTGAGCTCATGTAATACTCTAAAAGCAACCCGTTTAAACAAGCAATAGAAATAAAGATTACGCATATTATAGTGTAGACGCTACCTAATGTGGCCACATTCACTTCATAGTTCATCAAATATATGCCTCGAAAATGAACTGGACTAGTCAATTGTGTAATAAATATAATAGAAGGGGCACATTCAGGCAGAATGCTCTTAATGAAGCATAAACACACTAATGATTTTTCCCAGAAGAGGGTTGTACTTACTATTGGGCGGAGTCATTGAGCTGGTACTCGCGGGCACGGCTGAAGCACTCCTGGATGCCCGAGTCAGACCACAGGCGAATCATGGCAGACAGCAGCTCTGGAGAATAGGGCTCAGTGTCCTCCATACGGCTCACAACATCACACACCATCTTAGCATCCGCCTGTTGAAAGAAAACACGCAGGGATTGTCCATTAGTTCTAGACTTCTGAACACAGAATCTTTAATGCAGAATTACATGCTATGCGTCTTAAAAAGCAATTTGATATTAGAAATATTCTGTCACAAATAATAATATGTTCATGAAGGTCTAATATTTCAGCTGGAAGCTCATTAGAGCAGCATGATATTTGAAAACAGTTCAGGCTCTTTGAAAATACATGCCTCAGCCAACATTTCAGGGAAATACATTGCTCCTGGTACATTTCGGATAAAAAAATCCACTAAAGGGCAGTCTTCAATTTTTTCGAATTTCAAAGATATTACTTATGCCTATACGCCTAAACAAAGTTTTAGGATACACAAATAATACCTTGAATTCTAGTTGTTTGGTTGGTATCAGAAGTGGCTAATATAAAAGGCAAAGGCCTCAAGATTACGCTTATTTTATCAAAATAAAATTTGATCATGCCTTGATTTTTCTTAATTATTTAATTAGGACAGAAAGACCTTCTTTGCTTAAAAAAAAGTATTGTGCCTTAAAATAATCAACAGTGTACAATATAAAGTCATGGTGCAGTGGAAAAAGAATTAATATTGTGTATGACTCCCATGAGCTTGGACAACTGAATCCATACATCTCTCCATGACTCAAATAACCTATTAATAAAGTCATCTGGAATGGCAAAGAAAATGTTCTTGCAGGACTTCCAGAGTTCATCAAGATTCATTGCACTTATCTTCAATGCCTCCTCCATCTTACCCCAGACATGCTCAATCATGTTCATGTCTGGTGACTGGGCTGGCCAATCCAGGGGCACCTTTACCTTCTTAGCTTTCAGGAACTTTGATGGAGGCTAATGTATGCGGCACAAATGTCATGTTGTTGATCTTGCATCAACTCTGCAGATCTCTCGCTCGCCCCATACTGAATGTAACCCCAAACCATGATTTTACCAAACTTGAGTGATTTCTGCCACTTTCTGCCACTTTTCCAAATGATTAACTACAAGTCAAGTTAATATGTATTGCTCTTACAAATGGTATTGACGACAAGACTTTTGTCAGGTAGTGTATATGTCCAAGAAAGATGGAGCTTGTTGTACAAATCACTTAGCAAACCACTGACTGACCTAAACCCTTTTGAAAATAATTCATCATTTTAGATTGATTGGGATGTTTTCAGGGGAGTGGAGCTGCGTAAAATATAACAATTCAAGCATAAATAAATACAAGAGCAAGCATACAAATTAAATAAACGGTGCTTTATGGTTCTCCAGGGACTAGTATTCGGGTACAGAAATTGAAAAATGAAATAAAAAAACGTAAAATTTGCTGAGACTACAAGCTTTATCATTTCTTATTCCGGAAATGAAACTCGCACAAAAGGCTTACACAGTAATAGGCCTTAAAAACATGCAAAATATAAACTCGTGCAAACTATAAATGATGTCATGGTTAAACTGTGCAATGACTCCACAAATCACATGTGGAGACAACTATAATCCTGACTCGACATTGCATATCCTGTGATCTGACAATTGCAAATTGGGATGTTGATATATTGCGCAGCCCTAAAACTCGTGCACTCTAATGGCTAATAACCTTCATAACAAATCACACAGTCAATGATTTGATTAAAACTACAAATATGAATACAAAAGTGTTTCAAAACTATATGATTGACAGTTAAAGTGGCCATATTTACAAATCTAGAACTCAGAGAACAGTAGTAAAAAGCTTAGGGTTGCTCACAATGACAATTTTTTTTTTTTTTTTCATCTAATAAACAAATTGATGTTTAAAAAATCCCAAGAAATGAGAAACAGCAACTGAAGATGTTGTGAGTCCCCCTTTATGCAAATAAGCAGTGATGCGATAGTGGTAATGCCTACTAGCAAACAACAGCACTGAGACTCGTGACCTGCAGCAATTTCAGCACTGTCAATGTGACTGTGGCTTTACTGTGTCAACAAATGACTCATTTGTGCCTATTTTCATTACTTCCAATGAATTTAATCAGAAACAAAGTTAATGACAGCTTTCAGAGAACATACTGGTGTCCATATGAATTGGCGGGTAATATTTAAAACATGCTTAAAGCAAAAACGTAGATAAAAATAATACACTAATATATACCTCTGAGGTCATATAGACGTCTATAGATTCAAGTGTGCATTGTTTGTGCTGTTAAGAAAACTTTTATTGCTGGTATTAAATATTTTATAAAGCCCTCACTCCACGAGCTGGCTCTTGCTCAAAATAATAACTCTAAAAAAACAACAACAACAACCCTCTTTGGTCTGTTATCTTTGCATAACAACTTTGGGTTATACGAACTTGTGCAAGGGCAGAATGAGAGAGTCAAACGGAAGGAAAGAGATAACAGAGTCAGCCACTCTTCTAATTTTATCAACCGAAAGAGACATACATGTACTGTATTATAATAATTACTGAACGTGCTGTTCCTCATTTATATACATTTGTTCCATTTGAAAGAGGATCCATTTAAGTACACACTCCAGTGCCTTTGATTTTAATTGTTGTGAGATGCTTAGCTCTAATGAATTGATGTTATCGCACTTCCTACTTTCAGAAGACCCAAGACTAGATAATGTTGTGCTTTTAGATTATAAACCTAATGAACAAAACAAAGCAAATGTTTAATGATGCTGACGGTTTTTAAAATATACTATATTTAAGCTATAAAAAATCTGAGCGCATGTACTATAAGTGATCTCTTTATTTCAGTTTTCAATGGATCATAAGTTATAATGAGCCACTATTTTTCATTTGAAAACATTTATAATTCTGACCAATTGTCATTTTAAATAAGAAATGCCTCTAAAGGACATTTAATTTAATATTTGTAATTATATTTATAGAACAAAATATTGAAACATTTATTTTACATTTTTCCAGAGCTGTATATACAGTACATATTTAACTACTACATACTGTACAATTATCAACACATAAAAACATCCTTCTTATTTCTCAATCATTTTTCCCTTGCTTACTTCCTCCGTCCTGCACACTTGTGACATCACTCCCTTTTCCGAATGCATTTAAAAAGCCTGACAGCAATACCGACTTCTCAAAGGAGCGTTTAGTTTCTTTTATAGACATCACAATTGCGCCTACTACTCGAAGGGACCGTGGTTCCGCAACGACACAAGCCAAAAGAGGAGAGCGTGAGAAATGGACTGGATGAGTGGAGTGAAAAGAAAAGAGCCATGTTAAATAGAGAGTGGAAGAGAAGATGGGGGTCAGTTCAAGAAGGCTGGTCCTGCACCCTATCCATTATCAGCTGTGAGAAAGAGTAAAGCGTTCACACATTACAACAGTGAGATGTGGGTGCATGGGAATTGAAAAGCATGGATGTTGCTAATTAAGGCAATTAATTAATTAATATTAACATTGAAAAATTAACCAATAAATATTACCCTACTTCTTTAGTTGATTGATTACATTAAGAACTGCGGAGAGTCTTTTGTATTAGGAGTCTTCTAAAATGATACATTTGAATATGCAACATAAAGTATTGTTTTATTAAATATTCATTCTTTTGAATGCATTTCTAGCACAAAAATTTCAACACTGGAGGAAGTGACGTATAAAATCGATCTTTTTTAATACATTAGGATAGGGCTTCTCATAGTCCGGACTCAATCTGGCCGGGTATTCAATCTGGACTATAAAGGATTGAAATTGAAGACTTCCTTCATTGATAAATGCATAAACCTTGTAAATCAACTGTTGTTTGCATTTTTTATTTATTTATTTTTTTTTTAAAAGAAAGAGTACGGGCCAAAATAAAATCAAAGGCAAAAAGTTTTTCTGCGTGACTTTGTTGTCATGACATCCAGTGATCATACGAGGCTTCACGTGATTGAGCAGCTAGAACGTGCAGCAGAGCGATAATTTGAATAGATGAAAATGTCATTTTCATGGAAAAGAGAACTTGATGAAGAGAATTGACAGTTCAAAGTTAAATGGACAGATAAGTATTCATTTTTTTTTATTATTCTTATTTATTGAGCCACAAGCCAGCACAAAGCCATTCTGCTTGATTTGTAATGAGACAACTGGAGTTGTATAGAGTGGAAATGTGAAACGAAACACAGACATTTTAAACAGCAGTATCCACAAAATACAGATACAGTATAAGGATGACAAAACTACAACACCTGAAGGTATATTTCTTTATATTTTTCACCTTTTTTTAGTGCAGTTGCAATCCGAGCTTCATGCAGTGCTTTTTAATGCACACACCTAACTCTAGCTCCATTAAGGGCATTGTGTCTGACGTTGCATCTCTGAGATATGGAATCTCAGCTTGCACCATCATGGCTGCATTCAGATACTATTGGCCTAACTTTTGTTGTCTTTTGTACAAAAATGCAGTTTTAGTAGTGGTTTAATTTATTGTATTTAATTTTTATTTAAAGAAAAATAAACAGTGTTGACTTGTGCTGCATGTTATGGATGTTTATTAAAAAAAGTTATGTAATATCAATTGTTTTGGACCTTTGACCTTCAAATTCAGATTTGGACCTTTTAATATGGACATTGAAAACCCCATGCGTTAGGATTTTGAAAAGATTCATGGCTCAGGGCTGATGAAAAAAACATTTTAGCAAAAGGCCATTAAAAATATGTACTGTAAATTTCAAGCAAACACAAACTAATAGAGTGCGATGATAGCAGAAAGTGTTTTCAATACATCGAGCTGAAAAGCACTTTTTCAAAAGCCAAAATCTCAAAATGAACATGCTTTTGCCTTCAGTGTCTAGCCTTAATCCATGCTTACTGCAAATGCTGTTTATTGCAGTTTTTCTGCTGTGAAGGTGCAGACATATTAATCTTGACTGAGAAAAATAGATGCGTCTTCCGTATGACTTGTCAATAGGGACAGATATTGCTGCCATCTCTATGGTAATGCAGCGGGGGCCGCATCATCAGCAGGAGGCCGTATGATTGGCTGAGGGAGCCTCCCTTTCC